CTAACGAACCACGCATCCATTCTAAGTACATACTGGTCCCTACTAAAAATAGAATCCTTCTACTTAAACTGTAGCTCCCGAAAGGACCACGCATCCATTCTAAGTACATACTGGTCCCTACCAAAGATAGAATCCTTCTACTTAAACTGTAGCTCCCGAAAGGACCACGCATCCATTCTAAGTACATACTGGTCCCTGCTAAAGATAGAATCCTTCTACTTAAATTGTATCTCCCTAACGAACCACGCATCTATTCTAAGTACATACTGGTCCCTACCAAAGATAGAATCCTTCTACTTAAACTGGATCTCCCTAACGAACCACGCATCCATTCTAAGTACATACTGGTCCCTGCTAAAGATAGAATCCTTCTACTTAAATTGTATCTCCCTAACGAACCACGCATCCTTTCTAAATACATACTGGTCCCTACTAAAGAGAGAATCCTTCTACTTAAATTGTATCTCCCTAACGAACCACGCATCCTTTCTAAATACGTACTGGTCCCTACTAAAGATGGGATCCTTCTACTTAAACTGTATCTCCCTAACGAACCACGCATCCATTCTAAGTACATACTGATCCCTACTAAAGATAGAATCCTTCTATTTAAACTGTATCTCCCTAACGAACCATGCATCTATTATAAATACATACTGGTCCCTACTAAAGATAAAATCCTTCTACTTAAACGGTTTCTCCCTAACAAACCACGCACCCATTCTTAATACGTACTGGTCCCTCCTAAGATAGAATCCTTCTACGTAAACTGTATCTCCCTAACGAACCACGCATCTATTCTAAATACATACTGGTCCCTACTAAAGATAAAAACCTTCTACTTAAACTGTATCTCCCTTACGGACCACGCATCCATTCTAAATACATACTGGTCCCTACTAAAGATAGAATCCTTCTACTTAAATTGTATCTCCCTAACGAACCACGCATCTATTCTAAATACATACTGGTCCCTACTAAAGATAGAATCCTTCTACTTAAACTGTATCTCCCTAACGAACCACGCATCCATTCTAAGTACATACTGGTCCCTACTAAAGATAGAATCCTTCTACTTAAACTGTATCTCCCTAACGAACCACGCATCCATTCTAAGTACATACTGGTCCCTACTAAAGATAGAATCCTTCTACTTAAACTGTATCTCCCTAACGAACCACGCATCCATTCTAAGTACATACTGGTCCCTACTAAAGATAGAATCCTTCTACTTAAACTGTATCTCCCTAACGAACCACGCATCCATTCTAAGTACATACTGGTCCCTACTAAAGATAGAATCCTTCTACTTAAACTGTATCTCCCTAACGAACCACGCATCCATTCTAAGTACATACTGGTCCCTACTAAAGATAGAATCCTTCTACTTAAACTGTATCTCCCTAACGAACCACGCATCCATTCTAAGTACATACTGGTCCCTACTAAAGATAGAATCCTTCTACTTAAACTGTATCTCCCTAACGAACCACGCATCCATTCTAAGTACATACTGGTCCCTACTAAAGATAGAATCCTTCTACTTAAACTGTATCTCCCTAACGAACCACGCATCCATTCTAAGTACATACTGGTCCCTACTAAAGATAGAATCCTTCTACTTAAACTGTATCTCCCTAACGAACCACGCATCCATTCTAAGTACATACTGGTCCCTACTAAAGATAGAATCCTTCTACTTAAACTGTATCTCCCTAACGAACCACGCATCCATTCTAAGTACATACTGGTCCCTACTAAAGATAGAATCCTTCTACTTAAACTGTATCTCCCTAACGAACCACGCATCCATTCTAAATACATACTGGTCCCTACTAAAGATAGAATCCTTCTACTTAAACTGTATCTCCCTAACGAACCACGCATCCATTCTAAGTACATACTGGTCCCTACTAAAGATAGAATCCTTCTACTTAAACTGTATCTCCCTAACGAACCACGCATCCATTCTAAGTACATACTGGTCCCTACTAAAGATAGAATCCTTCTACTTAAACTTTATCTCCCTAACGGACCACGCATCCATTCTAAGTACACACTGGTCCCTACTAAAGATAGAATCCTTCTACTTAAACTGTATCTCTCTAACTAACTACGCATCTATTCCAAATACATACTGGTCCCTACTAAAGATAGAATCCTTCTACTTAAACTGTATCTCCCTAACGAACCACGCATCCATTCTAAATACATACTGATCCCTACTAAAGATAGAATCCTTCTACTTAAACTGTATATCCCTAACGAACCACGCATCCTTTCTAAATACATACTGGTCCCTACTAAAGATAGAATCCTTCTACTTAACTGTATCTCCCTAACGAACCACGCATCAATTCTAAATACATACTGATCCCTACTAAAGATAGAATCCTTCTACTTAAACTGTATATCCCTAACGAACCACGCATCTATTCTGAATACATACTGGTCCCTACTAAAGATAGAATCCTTCTACTTAAACTGTATCTCCCTAACGAACCACGCATCCTTTCTAAATCCATACTGGTCCCTACTAAAGAGAGAATCCTTCTACTTAAACTGTATCTCCCTAACGAACCACGCATCCATTTTAAGTACATTCTGGTCCCTACTAAAGATAGAATCCTTCTACTTAAACTGTATCTCCCTAACGAACCACGCATCCATTCTAAGTAGATACTGTTCCCTTCTAAAGATAGAATCCTTCTACTTAAATTGTATATCCCTAACGGACCACGCATCCATTCAAAATACGTACTAGTCCCTACTGAAGATAGAATCCTTCTACTTAAACTGTATTTCCCTAACGAACCACGCATCCATTCTAAATACATACTGGTCCATACTAAATATAGAATCCTTCTACTTAAACTGTAGCTCCCTAACGATCCACGCATCCTTTCTAAATACATACTGGTCCCTACCAAAGATAGAATCCTTCTACTTAAACTGTAGCTCCCTAACGAACCACGCATCCATTTTAAGTACATTCTGGTCCTCCCTAACGAACCACGCATCCTTTCTAAATACATATTGGTCCCTACTAAAGATAGAATCCTTCTACTTAAATTGTATCTCCCTAACGTACCACGCATCCATTCAAAATACGTACTAGTCCCTACTAAAGATAGAATCCTTCTACTTAAACTGTATTTTCCTAACGAACCACGCATCCATTCTAAATACATACTGGTCCCTACTAAAGATAGAATTCTTCTACTTAAACTGTATCTCCCTAACGGACCACACATCCATTCTAAATACATACTGGTCCCTACTAAAGATAGAATCCTCCTACTCTACATGTAACCCTAAGTTTAGAATTGACATCTACTGAAGATAGAATCATTCTTCTCTAGATATATACTGCTGTCCACAGCAGCCTTTACATTCCAGTATCCTGTACCTAATGACACAGCATCACCAGTCTAGCCCTAATCTCCCAGCTGGTCAGCGCTTGTCTGACTCCAGATCTGTTATCCTTACTGATTAGCGATCTTGTATATAATTATCGTCACATTGATACTATTACTAACCACCAAACGATTAAAAATTGAATACATCGCCACATTCGTTCTCATACGATTTTAAGGTACGCATACATCAAAGTAACAAAGCACAATTACCTTGTAGACAAAGCAGGCGGATGCTAGTACCTTGAGCTTACTTTTAAAGGACATACCTCTTGTAACTCTTATTTTATTCTGTACAAGTTAGTTTTTTTAACATAAACAATTTTCGAGTTTGCCATGAAGTAATAGCATGAACATGTAGACAAAAAGGTCCAATTCCTGACTAAACCTCGTCAAAACAGTGTTATATCACAGGTGACACCTGTCGTGTCCTGCGTTTAGAATATACATATATTAAAGGATTTTTTTTACATGAAATCAAAACTTGGACGAATAACAATAAAAGTGGTGATGGACAAAATCAGTAAAACCTTTCAGTAAACTCATACAAAATAAAACGTTGTAAAAGCATAAAACACGATAGTTACTAAGGAGATTTGTCTGTGCTTGTTTCATAATGAAAAGTACTGGCACTTCGGTGGTGGTTTAAACAAGAACACATTCTCTGTGACAGACCTTGACTACCTCCAGTAAGCTCCAGATGTTGTTATGTAAAACAATTTCATTTTGTTTAACTTGAATTATGTTAATTTGGCAATGCTATTTTTAAGTTGGTATTTTATATATATATCACGTTAACACTAATATTACAGCGTAACATAAAGGTTACATTAAGCTGACAATGCTATCTTAAGTTGGTATTATATATATATATCACGTTAACACTGCTATTACAGTGTAACATAAAGGTAACATTAAGCTGACAATGCTCTCTTAAGTTGGTTTTATATATATATATCACGTTAACACTGCTATTACAGCGTAACATAAAGGTTACATTAAGCTGACAATGCTCTCTTAAGTTGGTTTTATATATCACGTTAACACTGCTACTACAGCGTAACATAAAGGTTACATTAAGCTGACAATGCTATGTATACGATTACATGTACAGTACATTAAGTTAGCAATGCAGTTACAATACTTTAGTGTGAAGGGGTCGTGAAACAATGCAGGGCTCACACATGTAATCCGTGATCGGAACAATACCTTGAACGGGAGCACGAGGCTATACTACCTGGGCATTGCCAGTTCATTCATTTTATCTATAATGTATTTTAATACATGTGTTCTACTGTTTAGGTTGCATTAACAATACTATATCTAAAGCAGTGCATTTATATATCATGCAATAAACCACGACACTTCAATAGTATATATCTGTTACAGAAAAATATATAATTCAAAATATTCTATTGATCAGGGTATTCGCTTTACATCTGTTACCCGTGGTTGGCACTCATCCAAACAGTCAGAAATGGTAGCCTTGAAGTCGATAATACAAAGCTTGCGTTTGTTTGAGGTTTTTTTCAGAATGATATTGGCAAATAACGAGTTACATTTCAGTCTCGTTTACCTTGAATATTTCGAATAGACCAGGCCTGGCTCAACAGTCCAATGTCCACTTCATAACGGAGGAGTCAGCAAAAGGTAAGTGTGCGGAGAGATTATGTATGTGCCGGTATTTAAAAAGAACAGAATAGCACGCTATATGCTAGTGAACATCATTGTCTGATACTGACAGGTTCATTAGGTATTCCGTTCTGTTTATAAGTCATTTATTACATAGAACAGAATAGCCAGAGTTCTTGTTTAGAAGTCAATTATTACATAGAACAGAATAGCCAGAGTTCTTGTTTATAAGTCGTTTAATAAATAGAACAGAATAGCAAGAGTTCATGTTTAGGAGTCATTTATCACATAGAACAGAAAAGCAAGAGTTCTTGTTTATAAGTCGTTTATTACATAAAACAGAAAAGCAAGAGTTCTTGTTTAGAAGTCATTTATTACATAGAACAGAATAGCCAGAGTTCTTGTTTATAAGTCGTTTAATAAATAGAACAGAATAGCAAGAGTTCATGTTTAGGAGTCATTTATCACATAGAACAGAAAAGCAAGAGTTCTTGTTTATAAGTCGTTTATTACATAGACAGAATGGCAAGAGTTCATGTTTATAAGTCGTTTATCACATAGAACAGAATAGCAGGAGGTCTTGTTTATAAGTCGTTTATTACATAGAACAGAATAGCAAGAGTGTTTGTTCATAAGTCGTTTATTACATAGAACAAAAAAGTAAGAGTGTTTGTTTATAAGTACTTTATTACATAGAATAGAATAGCAAGAGTTCTTGTTTATAAGTCGTTTATTAAATAGAACAGAATAGCAAGAGTTCATGTTTACAAGTCATTTATTACATAGAACAGAATAGCCAGAGTTCTTGTTTATAAGTCGTTTATTACATAAAACAGAATAGCAAGAGTTCTTGTTTAGAAGTCATTTATTACATAGAACAGAATAGCAAGAGTTCATGTTTAGAAGTCATTTATCACATAGAACAGAAAAGCAAGAGTTCTTGTTTATAAGTCGTTTATTACATAGAACAGAATAGCCAGAGTTCTTGTTTATAAGTCGTTTAATAAATAGAACAGAATAGCAAGAGTTCATGTTTAGAAGTCATTTATCACATAGAACAGAATAGCAAGAGTTCTTGTTTATAAGTCGTTTATTACATAGACAGAATGGCAAGAGTTCATGTTTAGAAGTCATTTATTATATAGAACAGAAAAGCAAAAGTTCTTGTTTATAAGTCGTTTATTACATAGAACAGAATAGCAAGAGTGTATGTTGATGAGTCGGTTATTACATAGAACAGAATAGCAAGAGTGTATGTTGATGAGTCGGTTATTACATAGAACAGAAAGTCGAGTGCAGTGGTAATTTAACATGCAGAACATGAATAACTTTTCTAGGACATAATGCAAAACAGATTTTCCATTAAGGCCTTTTTAAGGAGATAGCTAAAGCAATGTCATAAATAAATCCTACATAAGCATGGTAAGGTAACAACATTAAAATAGCGACATGAAAAGGCTTCGTTATACAATACTGGTCCACGACATTATTTACCCGCGGTCATGGTCATGTGTAATGGGCGTGTATGTATGATACACACGTTGGTTTGATTAGACATGTATTTGTGCGCCAGTTTGCACTTAAAATTCATCTAAATTGTGGACATTGATTACGTGTTAGGTAAGTATATGTGCATGTGTTACAATTCTCCTTAGATGTTTAGAAAAACACCCACCATCCCTACCACAGTGGTGGGATACGCAAGTGGAGGAACTTAACCAAATGTTAACCTGAACCTTTAACGCGTCAAAAATGTCTCTCTGCACACCAAAATAGCTCCAAAAATACCTTCTGTAACATGTTCCTAGGTCTCTGTGCTTTCTTCTAAAACAAGATAGGTGCAAACATACCTTCTGTAACATGTTCCTAAGTCCCTGTGCTCTCTACTAAAAACAAGATAGGCGCAAACATACCTGCTGTTACATGTTCCTAAGTCACTGTGCTCTCTACTGAAACACGATAGGCGCAAACATACCTGCTGTTACATGTTCCCAAGTCCCTGTGCTCTCTACTAAAAACAAGATAGGCGCAAACATACCCGCTGTTACATGTTCCTAAGTCCCTGTGCTCTCTACTAAAACGAGATAGGCGCAAACATTCATGCTGTTACATGTTCCTAAGTCCCTGTGCTATCTTCTATAACAAGATAGCCGCAAACATACCTGCTGTTACATGTTCCTAAGTCCCTGCGCTCTCTACTAAAACAAGATAGGCGCAAACATCCCTGCTGTTACATGTTCCAAAGTCCCTGTGCTCTCTACTAAAAACAAGATAGGCGCAAACATACCCGCTGTTACATGTTCCTAAGTCCCTGTGCTCTCTACAAAAACGAGATAGGCGCAAACATTCCTGCTGCTACATGTTCCTAAGTCCCTGTGCTCTCTACTATAACAAGATAGGCGCAAACATACCTGCTGTTTCATGTTCCTAAGTCCCTGTGCTATCTTCTATAACAAGATAGCCGCAAACATACCTGCTGTTACATGTTCCTAAGTCCCGGTGCTCTCTACTAAAACGAGATAGGCGCAAACATTCCTGCTGCTACATGTTCCTAAGTCCCTGTGCTCTCTACTAAAACGAGATAGGCGCAAACATTCCTGCTGTTACATGTTCCTAAGTCCCTGTGCTCTCTACTAAAACGAGATAGGTGCAAACAAACCTTCTGTTACATGTTCCTTAGTCACTGTGCTCTCTACTAACACGAGATAGGCGCAAACATACCTGCTGTTACATGTTCCTAAGTCCCTGTGCTCTAGAGAGGTCCTCACATATCGACTCTACCAAGTATCCCAATCCTCCTGTTCTGTAACATATATATACAAACGTGCTGTGTTCTGTAACAAAGATACAAGCAAGCATACCAGCTGTAACAAATTACCATGTCCCTGTAACACATCAAGGTAGATCCAAACATACATACAGTAACAAATTACCATGTCCCTGTAACACATCAAGGTAGATCCAAACATACATACAGTAACAAATTACCATGTCCGTGTGCTCTCTACGACTAAACGTTATACTATCAACTTACCAGGTCAATGTGCTCTATAGCACAACTGTGTTCTGGACTACTGTTTTTTATGGTGTCGTTCAATATTGATCTAACCCATTTCCCTGTGTTATTTACAGATACTGTACCAGTGTACATATGTATATACTGTGCAGTAAGATTCGATATACAGGACACATTTGACGTGCTTCGTCAGCTCCGTGTTACTTTAGTGTAGTGATTGGAAGCCATACTTACACGCAGTGAAGACCACCAGCGGCATGTGTGGGGGGAGAAATACAGAGAGAAGATGCTGCCGTCTGTATGCCAAACTCAAGCAGAAACAACCGTATCGAGAGAAGGTCACCACATCGCTCGCTGTTTATGGCATTTTTGCTGTGATTGTAAGTATCTATGTCTGTGACACATGCTTATTTGTTTCACGTTTTCACACAGTCGGATATTATGTTTGTGCGTATGGAGGGCATGAAGACGAAGCTATTTGCGGTAATCTTGGTAATTTTCGTTTAAATGTCAGTTAAATATCTAAAAGGACATGCATCATTCTTTATTCTTTTTATAAACAAGTCCATGTACCAATCCTGTCTGACAGTACGCCTCTACTATAAACAAGTCCATGTACCAATCCTGTCTGACAGTACACCTTTACTATATACAAGTCCATGTTTCTGTCCTGTCTGACAGTACACCTTTACTATATACAAGTCCATGTACCAGTCCTGGCTGACAGTACAACTTTACTATATACAAGTCCATGTACCTGTCCTGTCTGACAGTACAACTTTACTATATACAAGTCCATGTACCAATCCTGTCTGACAGTACACCTTTACTATATACAAGTCCATGAACCAGTCCTGTCTGACAGTACACCTTTATTATATTCAAGTCCATGTACCAGTCCTGTCTGACAGTACACCTTTACTATATACAAGTCCATGTACCTGTCCTGTCTGACAGTACACCTTTACTATATACAAGTCCACGAACCAGTCCTGTCTGACAGTACACCTTTACTATACAAGTCCATGTACCAATCCTGTCTGATAGTACACCTTTACTATATACAAGTCCATGTACCTGTCCTGTCTGACAGTACACCTTTACTATATACACGTCCATGTACCTGTCCTGTCTGACAGTACAACTTTACTATATACAAGTCCATGTACCAATCCTGTCTGACAGTACACCTTTACTATATACTATTAGTTATACAGGTCTTTGGTAGGGTACATGGTCTCATGTTCGCTGTCAGGACCTTATGTACCCTTCGCCTTCGGCTTCGCCTTCGGCTCAGGGTACATAAGGGCCTGACAGCGAACATGAGACCATGTACCCTACCAAAGACCTGTATAACGAATTTGTCATACTGCAAAGCAATGTTCAAGCGTTGTCGTCTTGTAAAGACTCCCATCCTGTTTCCTTGCATCGAGATAAAAATGGCCCAATGCCTCGTCTAATCTTGGCTTCGAGAATTCCTCAAAATCTGTGTCTTTCTCCTTTTCGCTTAAGTATGCTCTGAAGGTTTTGCTTGCTGAATTGGTACTGTTCTTTGTGTTTGTAGGTATAAGTGACGCCCGTTTTGTCTCAATTTCACTCTCCGTGTGGCTTGCAAACCGTTTTGCCATTTTGTTCATTGTTGACATTAGCAGACGAACGTTCTCCGGTGTGTTCGATTCGAATCTGCGAGTTATCTCCCTTACAACAGGCGCGCGTGCTCTTATGTACCCCGGCAAGTATACTAACATAGTTTCAGGTACCTTGTCAATTCGACCAATCACCGTGCGACATTTTTCTTTGCAGTATGACAAAAGTCCATGTACCTGTCATGTCTGACAGTACAACTTTACTATATACAAGTCCATGTACCAATTCTGTCTGACAGTACACCTTTACTATATACAAGTCCATGTACCTGTCCTGTCCGACAGTACACTTTTACTATATACAAGTTAAACCAGGGTTTGTCATTCGGTCTTACAGTTATGGTTTTATGGGGTACAAATTTATCTATGCATTCATGTATTTCTTGTGTGAGATATTCATTCATATTTTCTACATGTAACTGAGATAATGTGTCCTCCCAGTCAATAGATAATAGATATTCATTTGCTCTCACAAAATCCGCATTCTTATAATACAATACAATTTTTTTATAACATTTTTGTTTCAGAGTTGTATATGTTATTTCTGCTCTAGTTGGGCAGTGATCACTACAGAAGGGTACATTTACTTGTACTTTTTTGACTATATTGCAGTTATTTGACATAATGACATCAATGCTCGTGGATGAGCTTGTAGTTACTCTAGTTGGCTCATGTATGTGATTTTTTAAATCGTATTTAGTCATTATTCTTGAAAGTCTAAAGTTTGGAGTAAGGTTAAGCATATCTTGATTAATATCGCCTATAAGTATCAAGTCTTTATTTAAATCAATCACTTTTTCTAACATATTAACAAACATATTCCAGTAATCTACTAAAGAATTCGGTGGTCTATATATGCATCCAACTAAGAACGTTTTATCATCGATTTTAACTTCCAGCCATAGGGTTTCTATTCCATCAATTTCTAAGTCTTTTCTTCTTTTAACATACAGATAATCTTTTACATAAACACAGTTATGTCCCTTGAGTAGCACGCTTCATCCCTAGGAGGTAGCTGAACATGAGCGTTGATTCTGCTGGTCCCATTGTGCCCAGCACGCACTCTACGGGTTGTAGGATGGGAAGGTCGACTGTCTGTAATTTGTCACCGAAAACCTAGTCCTGGCTAATTGAGAAATCAATTAAAACGCCAAGATGAATGTATTAGAATTGGTACTCTACAAAATAATCAGGCATAACACCTATAAAGCTTAGCTAAACTGTAAACTAGTTAGAGATTACCAATGACAAGAGTTATAGATGTCACCTTCCTACTTCCAATCCCTTCTGAAAGACGAGCTGGCGTATTTATAACAGTCCCAAAAAAGGGAAAACCGTTATATCCACTTTGTATACAGTATGTCACTAAATATCAGCAATGCACACATTTATATAAACCTTGCATAACTCTCCATGTGTTTATAACAACAGCCCGAGGAAACATCCGGGGTCTGACAGCATCCCCAGTTACTGACCAGGCGGTCTACAGATATACGCGTGTTCAAACGTCATGTACTCCAGCATTAAAGCATAACGAAAGTTATTGGGTGTGATATCGATAAGTTTAGTGTAATTATAATAAGTAATTAAGCTGATAATTAAACTTTCCTGGTTTATTCGTGTTACTGAAAGAAGGTATTGCCAACTCGAGAACTCATAACTATTTCGATTTTCCCGTCATTTTGCCAATAGTAATGTATGTTTAAGGAAATGAAGTGAAGCCACTCAAGGTTGAAAATAAAGGTAATGACAATAATAACATTTCAATATCTCAACACCCCAGACTGTTTGTTTGTTTATAGATGCCTCATTCTTGCTTTTTTCCAAGGCAGTAGTTCTGTCTGGTTGAGCATTGGGGATCTGTTTTGTTGGTTTGTTGAAGATTTATGTTCTATCTCTTCCATGGCAGATATAGTGTCTGTATCCTCATGATCACCCCATCAACAAATTGAATCTTCAGGTACATCAGCCAAGAGTGCGTGCAAAAATACCCTGTTTGTTGTCCCTGTCACCATGGACTGAACCACATACTGTGCAGAAAAATACAGACTTGGTTGGAACATTCCTACTACTTTGCATATTTCTCCATTGTAGAATGCTTTTGACCGTATTTTTGGACGCATCGGCGTTGAACTATAGTTGGGGGGTTGCCATGTTTGAAACAGACAATACTTTGTGTTTACCTTTGGCTAGTGACGTGTAATCTTACGTCACTGATTTCAAGTACTATTTCCCGTAGGGAGTCGGGGTTAGGGG